AAGAGTCTTTTTGTACTCTTTTCTTTTATGTTTCCTAGTGAATGATAATACATTATCTTCTCCTATAGATGTAAATTATATATGAAAAAAGTTTATATAAGGATGCAACCTTATAACGTAGAACTACGGATGCATCTCAAAAATCCATCGGAAAATATAGTTTTAATGTTGAAAAACCCTTTGAACGATCATCTCGACATCGAGATGGATGACCATGAAAAATAAAAAGATTTTAAGTCTAAAAAATAGTGCATTTACAACATATTATCTACTCTATCCATTTTCAAGATTTTCATATTTTATAGATCTACTTGATTTTAACCATTTTTTAAGTTTAAAATTTTATAATTAGATATAAAAATAGATTTGGAGATAATCCTAAGAACGTTTTATATTAAAATTATGTACCATGATGAAATTTGAAGGTACACCTTACCTCTACAATTACGGATGCATCCGTATGCCAACTACACCAATTATATATATGTATATATATATGACAAACCACGTAAAATTTAGTATACTTCTTTATATAATTTCCTTCTTACTTTGCTTTTCTTGCTTGTTACCTGTTAGGTGTTTCTATCACTCTTCACTTCGCCAAAAATAACCAGCACAACAATTAACTTTGTTATATTTATTCGCTCTTTGGGGTCGTTTGTATAGGAGACATAATAGTCATAACCTAATTTGCATATTGAGGTGTTTCTAGTTGCTGATCGTGATTTCTAATTTGTTTGTGGTTTCCTTCGACAGAAACTCACTATATTTTCAAAAAGCTAACTCTTAATCTATTTGAAAAGTGGGCAGGAGTCTATCTTTGCTATTGAATTATTTAAAAAAATCACTAAAAACAATACATTTGAATCAATAAAAATTTGAATGCTACACTTGCATAAATGTCTTGTCATCCTGTTGGGATTGAGAATTTGTTGATTCAGTCCAGACAAACTCGGTTACTTGTCGGAACCAAGAATCGGTCCGGCTTCTATGGACTTGTTGGTTCCATCAAGGAGTTGGATGAGTTTGTCCGAGAATTGGCCAATTCGGATTACCTGGTAATTCACCCGGTTCTTGTGGACTCATGGTTCCCACACATATATATTTTTTTATTATTATTTTATTTATTTATTTATTTTTAGACTGGTTCTCCCACCGAATAATATATCCTATCTACCAAAACAGATAGGTGATTCACCGATCATGATTAAATTTCTGAAAGGCCAGTTCAATGGCCGATCCAACATTTCAAACAATGCTCATTATTATAAAATTAAATATTTTCTTTCAATGAAAAGAAGGGGCGTAATAGAGTGTATTTATGATACTTCTCAAAGTAGGGGTCGTAAGGGGTTGGGTCCTAGTGGACCTGGACCTAATCTTTTGGGTAAAAAATTAGGACCCATACTCGGATCTGAGATCAGGTCTACGTACCAAGTCTGGTTAAGTTTATTGCCACCTTGTAACTCTAAGCTCTCTTCTCCTATTTTTTTTTTTTTTTACCATCATATACCCATATTATTCACAACATTTACAATAGGGTGCGGTTTTTATGGAACCTAGGCTCTAAACAATCAAATTAGAGCCCACCTTCAAATAGTATTGAGAAATGTAGTTTCAATGCTGAAAATCTTTTTGATAGCCTTAAAATATATTTTTATATTTATTTAAAAAGTTTAAAGCTTCAAAAATAGTGTAGATTGAGAGATTAATGAAAACCTGAAAATCTTGAAAATTGATGGTCCAAAAATGCGTTACAAAATACACTATTTTCAAAACTTGAAATCTATTTTTTTCTCATGTCCATGCATCTTGATGTCGAGATGATCAATTTGAGGATATTTGGACATCAAAATAACATCTTCTAGTAAATTTTTGAGATGGTTTCGAATTTGATTGTTTAGAGCTTCGGCTTAATATAAACTTTTCCGTTTACAATATTGCACAACATTTACAAATACCGACATTCTTTACTGTTTTTACTATCATATACCCATATTATCAACAACATTTACGAATAACCACATATATCCATACTATTTGGGTCAGGTCCAAGTCGGGTCCTGCTAGACTTTGACCTTTCAGGTCCAAAATTTGGACTCATAACCGAACCCAAGATCAGTTCTATTTGTCGAGTCCCGGGACCAGTGGACTCATATCCAAACCCAAGGTCAGTTCTATTTGTCGAGTACCGGGACCAGTCAAGTCCATTGCCCCCAACTCAAAAGCATGAATTCCACACTTAACTCGGACCAGTTGCAGTCAGTCATTGAGCACCGAGTCAAACGAATAAAGCAATGAGGATCAAGTCTCTTTCATGTACAATTGTGCCGTATCATGATTGAGTCAGCCCACATCGTTCAAACTTTGGAAGATTCTCACTTTATGGCACAATATTCAAGAAAAATAGTGAAAAGGATAAATTATTATTTTTATATTTATTATTTTGAAAAAATTTCTTAAAGGGAAAATTTTATATGGAGCTGAGGCTCTAAACAATCAAATTAGAGCCCGCATCAAAAATTTCACTAAAAGAGGTTGTTTTGATGCTCAGGTATTCTCAAATTGATCATCTCTACATCAAAATGCATGGACATGAGAAAAAAATAGATTTCAAGTTTTGGAAATAGCGTATTTTGTAACGTATTTTTTAACCGTAAATTTTCAAAATCTTCAAGTTTTCATAGATCTACACTATTTTTTAAGCTTTAAACTTTATAAATAAAGATAAAAATATATTTTAAGGCTATTACAATGATTTTCAACATTAAAACTATATTTCTCCACACTATTTGAAGGTAGGCTCTAATTTGATTGTTTAGAGCCTAGGCTCTATACAAACTGCACCCTTTATTAAATTGTTCAAAGCAAATGAATAATTTAACACTTTAATTGTATCTTTTTATTTAACGAAAAAATTTACATAAAGTTGCAACTTTAAAATGTAGAATTAAAAGTGCACCTAAAAAATCTATCATAAAAAGTTGTTTGGATGTTGGAAAACCCTCTAATTGATCCTCTCGATATCAAGATTTACTTTTAGTTTTTGAAATTTTATTTACATAATCTCTTAGAAATTACATTTACATAAAATATTAACTAAAAAATCCATCTAAAATATATTATGAATATAGGAAGCATACTTACATGCGTGCCATACTTATATTAAATATAATATTTTGGACTTGATTTCATTGTCATTGCATTTGTACTATAGAAAAAAGACAAAAGAACAGAGCAGCCAAGTCCATATTAGATAGATTATGATGTTGCAATTTGAGAAACAGTAATGATCCTATGAGACCCTCCCACACCCATGTGTGTAGGACTTCAAAGGATCATCTTAAAATTTAGAACAGATCTCTAGAAAAGTTATCACATGGGTGTGGGACTTGATTGTTTTAGATATTTGTTCCAAATTTAATGGTGATCATTTGGGGTCCTACACACATGGGTGTGGGAGGGTCTCTCAAAGTCATTTCCTTTTGAAAAAATCCATGTGAAAAATGTCCAAATCATTTCACAGTCAACATAAATTAGAAAACTCGTAAGGCATCGCCAGTTTTACACTATTGAACCTCACAAATTTTCATATTTCCTTCACCTCATGTTGCATTTGATGAGGAAATACCATGGAAATTGGATTATGAGTAATGATATTATTAATTAAGGCGTGTCATGTACAACATAAACCCAGTACAATACTTGTTAGAAGGTGCGAATTGATTTAAGTAGAAAGCTAAAAAGGGTAAGAGAGAGACCCAAAAGGACATGCTTGAAAATAGTGAAAAAAGATATGAGAACTTATAGACTTACTGAGGGTATGGTCCATAATAGAATTGAATGGCGGGCCATCTTTGTTAATCGGAGAGCCCTTCTCTCAATCAGAGATCCCCTCTCTCCTTGAAACCGTCTTTGCTAATCGGAGAGCCCTTCTCTATCTCTTTAAAACCTCTCTCCCTCAGACCCCCTCTCTCAATCAGAGACCCCTCTCTCCCTGAAACATCTCTCTCTCTGAAACCAACTTTGCTAAACAAAGAGTCTCGGTTTTTTAAAAACCGAAATTGACGTGATTTTGGTTTTTGAAAAATCAAACATGGGTAGTTTTGTCTTTTTTTTAAAAAAAAATGTTATGAAGTCCACAAACAGACATATCAGTAATAACAGAAAGTACTCAGTATTTTAATAATAATGGAAACTAAAATAAATATTTATGTAATTTTCCTTTTACCTTTTGTACAGGGACGTCACAATTATTCACACTCATTAGATGTCAAATTGGGTGGCTTGGGGCGAGTCGAGATTTTTTTTTTTTGAAATTGTGTATAATCAATAGCACTACCACCTATTTTGAAATAAAAATGACAAGCATGATTGGGACCTCCTTATACAAAAAAGTAAAGATCTCTTTATAGAGAATTCCAATAAAAATGTACATACCTTTTACTCAATTAGCGGTAAAACTCACTCTTTCATACCTCTAAAGGTGACAAGTGCTTAACCTAGCCTCACACCAAACTTATTTTATTATCCATTTATGTGCTTGCCTCAAAAGTGTCGTTATACGAAAGGAATAGGATAAGGAGACAAATTAATGGGTAAAGCGGGAAAGAAATTACGATAATCATCAACACGGGAGGCAGACAAGATTAGGAGCAGGACAAAATAATTAGCACTGGGGTTGGGAAGTTGAGTCAGACGTTCCTAAATCATGAAATGATAAAAGATGATTTTGGAATTGCGCCAAAAATTTTTGTTCAAATGTGGTTTGGTTGGATTGAGCTAACGTCTCAATCACCTCACCTGCTAATCAAAACCCCTTTCCTAAATCATGAAATGATAAAAGATGATTTTGGAATTGCGCCAAAAATTTTTGTTCAGATGTGGTTTGGTTGGATTGAGCTAACGTCTCAATCACCTCACCTACTAATCAAAACCCCCCTTCACAGCTACCATTCCTTCCCCCTTTTTACTAATATTTATACCTTTCATGCCTTCCCTTGTCAATACAACTTCCTACTCTTTCTTCCCCCTTTTCTTTTTCTTTCACCGTCTGCATCCATAAAGACCCCCTTTGCTTCAATGTCTGACTTGAACCATGACAATAACTCTGAGGGCTCTCAAGGTACCCACTTAACAACAAAGTCAGAGATTTTTAGGGTTTATAACCTTTATTATTAGAGAGAGTGTGTGTGTGAGAGAGAGAGAGATTTCTCTTATGTTTTAATCACAAATGTAATAGTGAAAGAAATATCGGTATTCATTGACAGATGAAAGCAGCCAACAGTCAGAATCAAATTCCAGGACGGATATGAAGTTTTCGGATGACGAAAAAGACCTCATAGCAAGAATGTACAATCTTCTCGGTGAAAGGTAAATATTTATTTCGAAACCTCTGGGTTTTTTTTTTTTAGTGGAAAATTTGTCCAATTACACTTAGAATGTGAACTTTTGAACTATTTAACGTTCTATCTTCATTTTTTATGTCTAATTTTAAATAGAACATCGCTCTTTTGATCAAATTTCAAATAGTCCATCAAAATTACACATGGGTTTCTATTTACTGTATTGCAAATATGTTAAATAGTTCAACTTTTAAGTATAGTTTAATAAACTTCTCTTTTTTTTTTATTTTTTATTTTTAAAAAATTACATACATATCATTTATACTTTACGTTATTACAGAGGTACCAAATAGTTTATGTTATTACATGTACGTCCGTTTTTTCCCATAACGTAATTTTTAAAAAAAACGAGTTTACCCTTTTCGGATGTTAAATAATCTAATTGGAGGGTTTTTCGGCATCCGAAAATGACTGCGAAATTCCAGAGATTCTCTAAAAATTTAAAGTCATATTTTCGGATGTTGAGACATATTCTGATGTTCAACATTCGAAACCATTTTTGGATGTTCAACATCCGAAAATGTCATATTTTCGGACGTCCAACATCCGAAACCACTTTCACAAAGAATACAATGTATCGACATAACCCTTCAATTCGAATGTTCGATACCTAAAAATGGGAATGTGAACGTTAAACTTTCGGCCTATTTCGGATGTTGAACATCCGAAAAATCCTCCAATTCGGTTGTTCAACATCCGGAAAAGGGGCAAAGTCATCTTTTTTAAAAAATTACGTTATAAAAGATAAAAAACGGACATACATGTAATAACGGAAACTATTTGATAAATCTGTAATAATAACGCAAAGTATAACAGATATTTATATAATTTTTTCTTCTTTTTTTTTTAATTTGTCTCCTCATGAACTATTCCCTTTCTCTCCTGAAATGACCAAAATAACCCTCCTCTAAAAATTGCGGCAATTATTTTTTTTAATTGATATTATTGAAAGTTACTAAATTTTTCAAAAAGAAAAATATACAATAAGAAACGGTTTCTTGTTTATTTTTAAAATTTTACATCATTTTCCTTTTTTCTGTTTATCCTTTTCAGTGTTTTTTTATTATGACGGACCGTTATGGTTGCATAACAACAACCCACCCTGCCCGTGATTCCATTGTTTAGAGCCTTGCCCCTATAAATACATGCGTATAAAGCAGCCCCGCTAACTACATTCAGTAAAAGGATAATGATCATGCAAAATCATGCTCACATTACTAACATAAGCAAGACCTTCCAAGCCCTTGGATCTTATGCTTGCTAGCGATGGACTCAAGAGATTCAATTGCCCTTTTTATTTTTATTTTTCGTGTAGTTCAGTGGTAGTAGTCGAACTTGAGATGTACCATTGCCTAATATCCTCGCTAACCACTCAAGCTCAAGCCCAATTCCTAATTGACTAACTTTTCATGCCTCTTGAATCCGACACTCATCTCATCTCAGGAATTGATAGGATCCAACGGTTGGAAGAATCTTGCCTATATTCTTAATCTAGACATAATTTCCATGAGATCACTTATTTGAAAAAAACTATCAAGGTAAATTCTATCATTTAATATTTGACAAGCTTATTGATGATAATTGTCAAATAAAAGGAGGACTACACACTTCAATAACATATATGGAATTCTTTTCAAAAAAATAAGCTAATAAGAAAATGACCAGAGGAGCCCAAATTCAAAATATTTCAGATAAGCTAGGCTTATCTGAGCTATCATTATATGTCCATGAATGATTAGGATAATTAATCACATTGGAAAAGCATGGGCACCAACTAAAAATGTGGGCCCACCATTATCCAAAGTTCAATGTGATTAGAAAATTGGACCCCAAATTTTGTTGGCCCAATTTGGAGATTAATGGTTCACTTGCTTATCTAAATTCTAATCCCAAGTGTCCATCTCATTCTATAATTATCCTACTAATATATAAACAAAATTGTTTTCACTTATTAATTATTTGCTTTCTTTTATTTTTTCTGTAAAGGTGGTCTCTTATTGCTGGGAGGATTCCTGGTAGAAGTGCTGAGGAAATTGAGAAGTATTGGACCACAAAGTGCTCAAGATCACAATCATGATTTTCCTTTTTTTCACTTGGGCTTCATAGATTGTTTCATTTTTTTTGAATTTGTAAGGGTATGGATCAAATTACATAGGATGTGATGTAAAATATGGGTGTTTTGATATCTGGGGCAGGTGAGTTTTAAGTTTTTTTTGGGTAATTCAATGGGGAAGACATGCCCCTAACCCCTTTTTTTTTCAATAGATTAGGAGTTCGATTTTTGAAAGTGTTAGTGAGGTGGTGTTAGTGGTAGGATTAGAGACTACAATGTGGTGACTATGTATAGGGATGCTACATGTTAGTTATTACAAGCTGGTGTGGTCCATAAGTCCCAAAACTAAGGGGCTGGCCCTTGTTAATTAGGATTGTATCAAAGGAAACATTTATATAAGGTTGCAACCTTAGAATGTAGGATTACAGATGCACCTCAAAAATCCATCGGAGAATGTTGTTTCAATGTTGAAAAACCCTCTAATTGATCATGTCTACATCAAGATATATAAATATGAAAAAAAAAAAAAAGATTATGAATCCCAGAAATAGTGCGTCTTGCAACACATTATCTAGACCGTCCATTTTCAAGACTTTCATATATTTATATACCTACTTGATTTTAATCATTTTTAGATTTTTTAAATTTTATCATTAGATATGAAAATAGATATTCAGATAATCCTAATAATTTTTTACATCAAAATTACATGGTATAATAAAGTTTGGAGGTGTGCTTTAATTGGATTGTTTAAGGTTGCAACCTTAAACTACACCCTTGTATCAAACCTTTTGTTAGTTTGATGGGAATTGTGCAGTGTAAATTAATGGAGAGGGATCTATATTTTATGGGCCCGCTGGCTTATGATCCTGATAGGTCGGATGATGAGATTTACCAAACTAGATGGCCTACTTTTTTATCAAATTATTTATTGGGGTTGTATGCTATATGATCATTTATTTTTGAAATAAGGAGGTCACAACTAATTCTAACCTTCAAAAGTCAAATCTAATAGCTCAGAGCATATCACAAAGTTTGAGAAATGTTTTTTGATCTTTGAGTCTAGTCAATGTTACACGTTTGGTCTTTTAAATCTAACAGCCAAAAATGATTCTTACCGCCTTATGCAAATGGTCATATTGCATACATTTCCTTATTTATTTTCTATACAAATTGTGTAACATGTTTTTATTGTGGGCTTAAGCCACTGCACCATTTCCTAAATGTCAGCTCAAAACGATATAGGAGTTCTAGAATTCATATGTAGATACGACACACAATTTTTAAGATGGATTTTGGTATTTGGACTTAAGTTGTAGGTATATATAATCTCTACCATGGAGATCATGAATGTATAAAAAAAATTTAAAATTAAAATGATAATGTTTTAAAAGAAATTTTCAAACACTTGATATTGCATTTTTTTTTTTTAGAGAGACCATAACTCCACAATTATCTTTAAGATGGATGTGTAATGCCTAAGGAGAAACAAATGTAGTTATGCGTCCCCCGATGCATAGACCACTTTTCCAATAAATAAATAAGATGAAAATGAAAAAAGTATTTAAACATTCTAGCCCGCTATACCATCCAATAGGTTGATTGGCTCACAAAACACTTATTAAAAAGAATAAATATATTTATGATGTAAATATCGACCTACGGCAGAATTTTGCTTGGGTATAACGTACTGATTAAGTGGCCAGCAGGGTTGTCACAGCAGTCGATTGGCGTTTGAGCTAAAGTCTATATTTTTTTACAATAAAAACATAAATTATAAACTGTTAGTTGAATTTTTTGATTCCCTTTCGCCCTTTTTCTCGGAGCAGTTAAAAAGTGTACAATGTCTTTTGAGCCTCATATTTGGGTGTTGGTACTATCCTGTTGCATGGTACTATCGATGCGCAAATTAATATACTTGATAAATGAAAATTAATACTTAATTGGGTAAGCTACATAAATCCTGATTCATCATTATGTTATAATAAGAGTCATGTTATCACTGAGGCTATAAGTCTCAATGTTTTTTTTTATTACTTCCAACCATATCCATTTGGGCCTACTCATTGCCTTTTTTAAGCCTTCTACTTAAATTAATTCGTACCTCCTAACCGGTATTGTATTGGATCTACGCCACACAAGAGCAGCACGCCTAAATCTGCTCTATCTCATCTTATCTCTTATTGGGGTCACACCTAAATTTTTGAATTATATCCCTTCTTATCGTGTCACTCGTTTATCTTAACATCATCATCTCCATTACACTCATTCTATAGGGATGTTGTTTTCTGACCGTCCAACATTCCATCCCATAAAGCAAATCTATTCTCACAGTTATCCTATAAAACCAGCCTTGTAGTTTTATTGGTACGCAACAATCACATAAAATTCCGATTGCACATCTCCAATTTGCCTGCCCAATTCAAATTCTATGTACACCATCTTCCTCAATGTTTTCATTTTCCTAGATTATTAACATAACAAGTTTAATTTTAAACTAAGAAGTTTAATTTTGTTAAAATTTTTTTAAAGTGGATAAAATGCGTTTTTTTCTTCTTATTTTGACTTCTCAAAAGATTGCCTCCTTCGACGCATAAAATAGTGTCACAATTACTGCAAATAAATTTTAAAAGTCACGGTTACAGCGACTTTAAATAAGCGTACAAATGTCCTCCGACAAGGGTGTACCTTTTTCATTATATTGGTTTCGAGGCACACTCATGTAGTAAAACCGTATTTTTAAATTTAAAATCGGATTCCAACTAGACAGGTCCAGTTTCAGTTTGCCTGGTCCCTCTCAGGTGATTCTCAAGTCTCGGGCCAAGGAGCTAAAAAGCCAAAAAGAACAAACAGATGGGTTTCCGGGGTTCCTCAAACCTGAATCACTCCTTCCCAAACCCAATCCAGATATCAGATCATAAAATGGTAAACCTGGCAAATGCAATCACACTTTTTCATTACATTGATTTTGAGGCACACTCATGCAGTAAACTGTAATTATAAATTTAAAATCACATTCCAACAGGTCCGATTTCGGGTTGCTTGGTCCCTCTCTAGTCGCAAGTCTGGTCGGGCAAAGAGCTAAAAAGAGCAAAAGAACAAACAGCTGATTTGGGTTTCCGGAGTTCCGCAAAGACCAAAATCATTGAACACATGTTTCAGCATGATCAATGACAAACATTTCCAGAAAATTCAATTTAAAATCAACCTGGATCAGTCTTTAAGCCTAATTCTCTTCTCTGAACCACTTCTTGCTTCCATTTTTTTAGACACCGATGAAGTGGGTCGCTTAGACAATGCCCCCAAATGATCTGATTGACCCAACTTCCCTTTTTGGCCCACAAATTCTGAGAAAGAAGGTATCCGGGGAAGTTGGGAGTCTTGTGTCCGAGTCTTTTCCATTGTTTTAGAGTTAGGATTTCCCAACCCATCTTTGTTGTCTCTCTCATTGGTCAGTATGGTGGCTTCTCCACTTTGGTCCTCATTGGATTTAGAACCTCCCACCCCAACTTTGTTTTTTCTTTCATCCCTATCCGATACAATAGTTTCTTCTTGCTCCTTGGAATTGTGTTCCGTGTTGCAACTAATTTTAGAAGAATTGGAGCCAAGGCGGTTGCTTAATTCAGAGGCACTACATGAAGATAGCCAGCGAACTGTGCTCGCAACTTGAGAGATGTAAAATGTTTTTCCAGTCTTCCTATATTTATTGTAGCACTCGTTCTCAAGAACTTTAGCAGCAATCTGCACCTCCATGCTGAAGAAAAGATGTAAGTGTACATGAATTGCATGAGAAGTACATGACAAAAGTTCGAAATCGACGAAAGTCTTTTTTTTCTTTTCAACAAATGAAAGAATCTTCAAAAAGCAATGTTCAGATATAAATTGTGACCTGAGAAATGAAGGAAAATGACAAACAGAATAAACCAATAATAAAGGAATTCCATAAGTTGCAACTTTGGCCATTTATGAGGAATGGGTCTTTCCACAATGTTTATAGGAATGATTGGTGTTCAGAGAGGTTAATTGCGAAAGAAAGAGGGTAGAACTGGGGGTAATTGGCCACTCTTAGAGAAGGATGGGAACACAATAACGCATAAAAGACAGAAATGGCATATACGGCTCTTAAACCTGCAATAGAATTTCAAATAATTTCTACTAAAAAGATACTTTAGATTAATAGCAGTTGATCATGCTTAGCCATAGAAAAGCTTGAGAAGTACATGGACTCGCTGAGCCGATCTTGGGCTTGCTTCAGAGAGTTCTGCAACCTTTGGATGCTTGCTTCCCTTAGTGTTTCAGTAATGGCTTTCTTGTCACCGGGGCCACTAGCCTGTTGGACATGATCGTGTTAACTACTCCAATGATCAAAAGATTTAGTTCAACAATACCTTTAAACCAATGCAATATTATAAGAAAAATTGAAAGCCTTGTTTAATTAAACATCCCTTACCAAGGTTATGCCCCATAGTCTGGCAGGCATGGTTCGTCCCAACCTCCAGACACAGATTTTGGAAATTATCCATAGAAGATGGCAGGCAATTTAACAAAATATAGTTTTAAACAAGTAGAAGAAAAGGACAAATTAGCATCCTTAGCAGCAATTGGGAGTGGGGATTTTACTTCAGTAAGGAAGTGTGAGATGAACCATTTCTCTGTTCATATCCGTCAATGTCTGCATGAATGGAAGAACAATTCATCTCAACTCTCCACTGTTGACAACAGATGGATGAGGTTACATGTGGCATACACTTTGTATGCTATGCATATCATAGGTTACACTACTTTAGCAAATACGATAGCTCATAGGATAACTAACTAAAGGGTCTGGATGATTGCAAGCGTGGACATGAAATGCTTTCGAGAGCAAGCATCCAGAAAAGCATTATAAAATTTCAGCTATTGGCAATCATTTTATCACAAAAAGAAACTGCCACATTGATTGCTATATACGGTTGAATTGCACAAATTCAACAAATTCTCACTTATATCAACAAGAGTGACTGTGGAAGAAAATAAGCGATTGTGCACCTGTTTATTCATGGAATTTCTGGAATTATAATTCTCCTCTGCTTGCAGCAAATGTTCAACCCTTTCATTTAGTTGAAACGTTGAGGACTTGTTCTTTGCTAGGCTGTCACAGATTTCCAGTCCTTCATCTGCAATATCACAACTCTGGACTAGTAGATTTTATTCATTAAGAAGTAGAAACTTGTATCAGAATCACAATAGTGATCACAGGAAAAGGGGTAAAGTATACTAAACTCTAATGGACCATAGAAAGCATAATCATTGGAATCATAGCCGTGAACAAAACGATGGATGGTGGTGGAGAGAGGGACCCACCCGAACAGAACATGACCCTGATATTGGTTTGTACTCTCTCCATCACCATCCATCCTATTGCATGGCAATGGCACCAATGGACTATTGTTTTCCATAGCCCATTGACCATTATATTATAGTATACTTTCCCAAACAAGTCATGACAATACCATCCCAGTTAACATAGAAGTAAAGTGGCAAAATCATGGTCAGCCAGTGATATTGTGTAGAAACCGTCCATCCACATTTGTTACACTACAAAATGTAATGCATCTTCATGATAAAAGCTACACAAAAACTTGAAGATCCATCTTATCTGCTAGGTTGCTTTAGATAGCAACTAACGTGCTTATATCAATCACAGGGTTCTTGTAATTGATGGGTTGAGTACCAGGCACGCACTTACTGTCATGAGTACTGTTTAAGTGAATGTATTGTCGCATATTGCTCTTGGAATTTACAGGTTCAAGTGGGTTAGTCATTTAAGAATACACTACAAACTGAGTCAAGATTTTATCAAAAAAGAATTTGAGTCAACATACCATCAGAATCACATATATCTTCCTCAGAGCAGCTAACTTCATCATCACGATTCCAAAACTCAGTGCCCTGATCTGAAGCCATCAAGGATGTGCTGGAAATGCATAAAAAGCACATCATGTATGAGTTCAAAATAAAGATGAATGATCACATGAAAAACTTACAGGATGCCACAATCCCTCCCCCACAAGGAAATATACATCATGACACTGAAATTTTCATTAAATGAAATTTCCAAGGAAAAGGAAGAAATGATTGCACAAATATTGGGAAAGGAACTCTTCGTAGAGATTGTCATGACAAAAAATGGTGGATAAAAGAATATTTGTACATCTGTTATTCCTGTTTTGCATTACTGCAACTGAGTATACCGTCACATGTACAAATACCCTGAGACTATCCAATAACATCATGCCATTAACTAAAGGGATTGTATACAATGAGGCCATTACCTTCACACACCAAGATCACAAGCACCTCAAGCCATTAGGTGTACAATCAAGTGCCTGGGGTGTTCCATTTCTACGAACGAACTCTAAAGACAATTTTCTCAGACTTAGGATGTGGCCAATGGTACCTCAGCTGCCCGATTTTACACCTGATGGCCAGAGTTGATTGTGACCTTGATGTAGGTCTTATTGGATATTTCCCCTTAACTAAGTGTCTGCAAAAAATACAGAAAAACAAGGATTAACAGACAGATTCTCTACCAATCATTGCTTACTAAACCCTGAGACCTATAATTATGTCATCGTCCATGAGAAAACCAATTAGTTTATCTAGTTAATAAATCTTCTCAAGAAACGTAACAAACTTAAACCATGCCCCGCACATTCACAGCCAAGGTACAGCCGTATAGCTATCAAACCTAGAATCTGGGAAGCCACGTTCTCACTTCCTTCTTTCAATGTTTGAGCAAAGACAAAACCCTTTCCTTTCAGCTCTTAAAACAAGAGTTGCAAGAAGCAACTGTTTGGCATATCATTCAAGCCTCTTGAACTCTCAACGCCAGACACAATAACATCGTACACTTCAGTTCATTGGCAGAGTATTCCCCCGTGAACCCCACAAAATGAAGGAAAAGAAAAGGAAAGAAAAGAAAAAAAAAAGAAAGAGAAGATCCATGATAGTATTGGAATTTCTCAAACGGATAGTTCCCCAAGGGATCTAATAAAGCATAAAAAAAAATATAAAATAAAAAATGACCCTCTTTTTAAAGTCTAAGCATATCTTCAACCCTTAGCTACTTCCATTTCCTAAACCACCTTTAGAGGATCTAAAGACTGTAGTGCTCATAGACAAAATATTAAATTAGTAGTTTGACATACATGCCTAACTATTTCAAACAGTCAAAGACTGGACCAGGCACAGAACTGGCTAGGGGTATGATCCAAAACCAATGTAACCACTAGTAGAATATGTCGGATTGGAATTTAAAAAAAATAAAGAAAGAAATAGAGAAAATTTCCAAAAAAGATATGAAATATATAATAAAAAATAAAAAAAATTTGCTCAAGCTTGTTTGGCCAATCCAACCAGTTAGAATCAGCCGGTCCAACCAGCCATAAATTGGCATTGATTTTGGTCTTTTTTTATGCATTTTATCAATATTTTGTCCTCGGACCAGATTGGCTAAGGTATTGCTCAGCATTCCAACCAATTGGAATGACTAATCTGATCCAGTCTTGATGACTAATCTTCCAGATCAAAACATGCAGTTTGTTCATTCCAAGTTTTTAGGTTGTCATAGGTTCATAAAACTTAGTTTAGTTTGTTTAGATATACTTGTTAGACGTTATCACTGATAATTCACTGTTTTAATAAAACTAATTATTATAATGGATTATCTGTTGTTTGACAGCATACCTCATAAAATCATCTGAGATAAAATCATAGGCAATTTCACACAAGTTTATCTTTTGGAAAAGTTGTTTTTCACTTTATTCAAAGTTATTCGCTGAAAGTCATATGCTTTTAGCTAGAAATAACTAAAATATCTGAAAATTGCTGAAAACATTAATCGCTGAAAAAGTTACATAATTAAATTATATTATATATAATACAAGTATGTACCAACCAGCTAGCAAAATTATATTATCCAGAGTATACTAATTTAAAATACCGTACAAGATTAACTGTCATCCAAATAGGCCCTTGAATCTTGAGAAACTTGAGCCAAAAATCTACATGATAAAGAGTTTTGAAAAATAAATTTCTACAATGCCAATCACTTCTATTTATGTTTTTGTCTAGCTTATCCAAATGCTTTTTTGTCTCTGTTGAAAATCCAGAGCTTCTTTCAGAAGGACTACATTTGATGCATTCCCAGCCAATATTGATGATATTCTGCTTGTAGTAGATGGGATATAATTTTCCATACCTTTTCTTATTGGAGTGGACAGGCAAAATGCAGCAGTTTGTATTCTATTTGGAAAGATATAACCCCCCCCCCCCCCCTCTCCCCCGAACAATGCCAAAACCCCCAAAAAAAAAAAACTCCTGGCCCCTTCCTTCTCCCAACCTTATTGAATGGTGTGAAATAGAGCACTCACCTAACACACAAGCAATGTTAGACTACGTTAAAAAAGTTGGCCGCCCAGCTGCCTGGGTGGGCAGCACTCAAGGCACAAGGCACAAGGCGGGTGACCAACCAGCCGCCCAGGGCCCTTTGGGCGAAGGCTGAAATTTGCCAAAAGGGCCAAAAGTGTCATTTCCCCCCTTGATAAGGGGGGAATAATATTTGGGGGGCATTTTGGCCCCTGAAATCCTAGACCATTATTTCTTTGCCTCAAAAACGATTTTTTCAGATCAAAATCAAGACTTTTTAAAGGATCAAAATTTGCATTCGAAGTTCTAGGTTTCTTGCGAAATCGAGAGGCATTCAACCCAAAATTTTTGGGGGATCAAAGAGGTTGCAAAAGAGAGCTTTGGGCAACTGAAAATGGCCGATTCAAGCCTACTTTAATTGGTTTTTGAAAGGTTAGTAAATTTAGTAATTTATGTTTAGGGTTCATATTTTTTGAGAGTATCGTGTTATGTTATATTTTTTGCCATTTTTTTGTTTTCATTTTGGAAGTTTGGCTTTACATTTATGATGAAACTAAGTATAACATTTTTTAGGGTTTGCTATTTTTGTGATTCTTATATTTTTTTGGCTATGATTGGCTATGTTCCTACTTGATAATGCATATTTGAAAGTTTATAATATATTTTTTGGCTATAATTTGGCTTTGAAATTTCTAATTTATGATGCCAAATTGAAATTTAAAAAACAACCCCCCAACACCAGCCCCCTTTTTCTCTCTCCCATGCCTCTCCACGCAGGGGCCACCCAGGTCATTGGGCACCCGCCTAGGCAGCCGCCCAGGTGGTTGAGAAACCCAACCGCCCCTGTCTTCTTGAAACAATATGCTAAGTTGTGGCACTTCCAAACCCAGCACTAAGCACTTCCTAGGAAATGTCAATTCTCCCAAGAAAACCAAAAGCCTGGCAGAAGTAAAGACAAAAACACTCGCTAGATGCCAATCCAATTGTGTATTTGTGCAGCTAGCCTTAACATTCCAATCCAAAAATTCTGAGCAAGGCATCACTAACAAATCCTTGTGAACCTTCAAGATCCTTAATGACAAGAAAGAATTATCGGGACTGTCCATCTTTCATTAGAAATGTTTCCAACTACATAAGACACATTTCCAACTACATAAAACCCAGCATCTGAGGAAATGCTTAATAGGCCCACTTCTAGAACTCAGAGATTTAATCTATCTTCTCTTTTGCTTCCCCCAATAGAGAATTTATACATTGATATGCTTCCTTCTATGTTTTCAGTAAAGATCTTTAGATATCCATCCTAGGCTCCTAGCCATACACTACAACTTCCAAAACCAACAAACAGCTTGAAAATAGAATCAATCAAGAACAGTATGCGAAAACTCCGCTTCGACTCGGACTCAGCCCTAGCCCGAGCTGAGCTACTTAGGCGAGTTTGAGTGGACTCAAGTCCACTCCAAGCCTAGCATGAGGACCAGTAGAAAAAACTCGTAGAAGTCCCAAAAATATGAAAATATAAATAATCAAAATTTTCATTAAAGCGTTTAATTTTTCTTTAAAGATTGACTATAAGATTTGAAGAAATTGAAGATTTTCAAATTGGGCAAACAAATCCCCAGTTCTTTGATCTACAAAATGCAATAAATCTAATGGTTTTTCTCGAATCTAATGCGTCCAATATGCATATCTAGTGATTTTTCCTGCATAATCTGAAATTTTGGATGAAAAAAACTCTTAAGCTCAAGAAAATGAAAAATGGCACCCTTTTATTTTTCTTTTCAGTGATAGTACTCAAGCTGAGTATTCTACGGACTCGGCTGAGGTCTACATTACTTGGGCAAGTCCACACAATACTCACCCAAGTACTGTACATATGCATTCTCTTTTAGGCTAGGCACCTGAACTTGCCTTAGCACCATGCTGAGGCCGAGCAACTTGGCCAAGTCCGAGTCTACTTGGCCAAGTTTTAAAACACTACCCAAGAACCAAAATACAGCAATTAGCATGGATACAAAAATGGAAAGTTTGCTAAAACATTCCTCACAGTTCAACAAATTTCCACAAGTGTACAATCATAGATGCTCAAAGGTATCTATGGTCGGGGCCTGAATTTTTCCTCAGGCGAACGGCGGGAGAAAATCCTCTCTCAAACAAACATGGAGGGTCCACGCGCATTGCACTTTTGTGAGTATGTGCACGCGTGCTCTCCTAAGCGTGGATAGGAATCTACAAAGAGAGAGATTTTACGACGGGGGTGCGTTTAGGCGCTTACTTCGTCGTTTGAGGTTCGGGGACACACCCAGGCAGTTCGCCCTCTTAGAACAGTTACGAAGCCCTCTGGCTATCTGCCAGCACGGTTTGGACACGAACTCTCCTCATGCTTTATCACGTCGCTCCGTTCTCTTACGCTGGAAACTGCAATGCGGATTCGTCGGTACTCCTCTATAAAAGCTCGCTCAAATGAGGGGCTGGCTAGCAAGAGATGGAATGAGGGGAGAAATAGTGACAAAAATCACCCTATCCGCGCAAACGCTATGCGTTCGGGCGATCAGTGCAGCTAAAGAGTTAGAACCCTCTTGACTATCGACTCAGGATGACTCCACCCGAGTGAGTGATTGAGAGAAAGTATGTATTCCCCGCGGCTCAACTTGGCTGTACGGAGAGGAAGTTAGAGCGATGGTCCAAGGGTTGGAACTCTTGGGTTGACTCTGAAGGGTATTGAGTCGAGCATATGTCAGATAGCGAGATGTTGTACGGAGCTACAAGCTTGTTGCGTTTAGGCTTCGAATCACAAAGGGGAAGATCACAAAGGGAGACGGGACCGCGGGTTCCGCGTTCAGCACAACGAGAATGAGAGAAAAGAAGGGAAAGAGATGGGACCGAACGTTTGTCGCGGGTCAAGATTGCTGCGCGGGGCAAGCAATGAGTAGAGAAAGAGAGGAAGAAAGAGAAGAGAGAATGGGCTTGAGGCATGGCCTAGCCTAAGAGGAGAAGAGAGAGAATGGGACCGCGCGCTCAGGATGGGTCAAAGGCATTTTCTCTCTCCTCGCCACTGGATCCAAGGGTTAGAAGCAAAAGGACAAGTGGACACAAGCTTAATGCATTGATTTCGTTAATGAATGATCCAGCTCTTTTACAATTGACCTAAGCTTGTTTATATAGAGGACCCACCGAACAGGGGTGGATACTGAAAACTAAGCCAAATCATAATTAATAGAAAGTACAATAAAATCCTGAATTTATGAATAATGACCAAAAGGCTCCTTAAACCTTTTGCGCTAATGACAAAACCATTCCTCTCTGATGGGCCTTTTGCCATTGCCAGATCTTGGAAGGCGATGATTCAAATGATCCATCCTCATAGTCTTGATCAGTGGTTTAAAAAACGGATCGGTGATCCGGATCGGGCATCCCAAAAACCTATCCGGATCGGCGAATCGGCGATCCGGATAGGGAATCGAGCCGAATCGCTCGGATTAATCCTTAAAAAAATCCAAAAAAATTATTAAAATTCATTATAAATGTTGTTTTTTAGGAATCGAATAAGAAATGGGGGTACTACATTATTAACTTTCATTGTTTTCATCAATTTATGAATATGAAGATGTGTTTTCCTTATATGAACTTATGTTAACCATTAAATTTACATCACACAAAAGAAATCATAGAATTATCATGGATTAAGTATATAATCATATATGGACTACAATAAAGAGTTGACTAAATCGATGAAAAATTGGCCACTAAAATCTCGAATTGGCGGAAAACCCTAATCAACTAAAAAAACCCAAATTATTACAACCTAACTAACTATAATATTATATACCAACAATATTTTATAATTATTTTATTATATAAATAATAACAAATCCAAAATATTTTATAATATCATCTAATTTAAAATGTATTATTGACAACTGTAAGAAAAATATTACACTACATGATTTATAATACAAAAATTAATAAATAAAATAAAAGATTTGGTTATCAATGTAGAAATTATTAGAATGCGAACCAATTTTCTTTAATTTTTTAGGTTTCTAGAATAAATTAGTAGAAGAGATTGTTAGTAAAAAGAGAGAGATTTCAAATGGCCCCATTGTATGAATCCTATCTTTAAATTAATATTACTACATTTATGTTAAAGACCATCATGTTATAAAAATAAAAAATATAATTAGACCATTTATTCCTAGGATGTATTAAGAAATACCTTTTATTTTTTTGACAAGAAATACTTATTGTGTTATCTTTTATTTTTTTTTACAAGAAAAATATGATACTTGTTGATTATCTTTTTTTTTTTTTGACAAAAGAAGATGTTGTACTACATTTTTTTTTGCTTGTTGTATTACTTTTTATTTTTTTTTACAAGAAAAATAAACAAATTATGTTGCCAAAGTACATTTTATTTTTTTATGCCTTTTTTTTATTTTTTTGCAAGAAATACTTGTTATATTACCTTGTATTTTTTTACAAGAAAATAAAAAAATGTTGTATTATCTTTTTTATCTTTATCTTTGAAAAGCCTTTTATTTTTTATTTTTT